CATTGATTGGGATTACTTTCACTTTTCTTTTTCCTGCAAATGGCAGTTGATTGATCTTTGTTGTTTAATTCTCTCTGTATTCCAATGTTCACAGTCTGAGAGCAAATGTGCTCTTGTGTATGGACAAATGAATGAGCCCCCGGGTGCCCGTGCTCGTGTTGGACTGACTGGTTTGACTGTTGCTGAGTATTTCTGTGACGCTGAAGGCCAAGATGTCTTGCTTTTCATTGATAACATTTTCCGCTTCACCCAGGTGAGTCTTGTTTTGGTTATAATCTGAACACCAGTACCTTAGCCATAATCTGAGCTAAAATATCTCGTGTGTAGGCCAACTCCGAAGTGTCTGCTTTGCTCGGTCGTATCCCGTCTGCTGTGGGTTACCAGCCAACTTTGGCTTCCGATCTTGGTGCTCTTCAAGAGCGAATCACAACCACCAAGAAAGGTTCAATCACCTCAGTCCAAGCCATCTATGTCCCTGCTGATGATTTGACAGATCCTGCTCTAGCCACAACTTTCGCTCACTTGGACGCCACAACCGTGCTCTCGAGACAGGTGTGACTTTGTCTCCCTCTCCCTCTGATGCTATTATTCAAAATAGTTTTGTGTAAGGCTCATAAAGCTGACATCTTTATACTCTTTTCTTTCCCATGTGAAGATTTCAGAGCTTGGTATCTATCCTGCTGTGGATCCTCTGGATTCAACATCCCGTATGCTCTCGCCTCACATTCTAGGTGAGGAGCACTACAACACGGCTCGTGGCGTGCAGAAAGTGCTACAGAACTACAAGAACTTGCAAGATATTATCGCCATTTTGGGAATGGATGAGCTTAGTGAAGATGACAAGCTGACTGTTGCCCGTGCCCGTAAGATCCAGAGATTCTTGAGTCAGCCCTTCCATGTCGCTGAAATCTTCACGGGTGCCCCTGGAAAATAAGTGGACCTCAAAGAAAACATCAACAGTTTCCAGGTACATGTTTACTGGCCGTGGATTGAGCTAAAATTTGTTTTTAGTATGCAAGAATCCTTTGTGCTTGCTAGGTCTATGATGGGCTAGTTTTATTCTGCCGTAGAGAAATTTTGTTATCAAATGTAATAAGTCACCAGGCTGACCCAGATCATCTTGTGGGGTTCTTGATTTGTTTAAGGGTTTGCTTGATGGTAAGTACGATGATCTTCCCGAACAATCATTTTACATGGTTGGAGGTATCGATGAGGTGGTTGCAAAGGCAGAGAAGATTTCCAAGGAGTCTGCAGCTTAGAAGCTGGATTCATGTCTTTCACATACTTGATACTTCGTCTGATTATTATCTTTTTTCGACAATAACGAAAAGAAAAACCTTATGCCTGTGAGTAGTGCCATGCCTATAGATGGGTGTAGAAAGAAACATCGGTCTGCAGGCCCATTTTTTAATAAAATTTTGAAGGTCATTGCCAACTACTATCCAGCAACAGCAACGATATTTCAAGAAAAATGTGGATAAAAATGTGTTGCATATATACTCAATTTGTCAACGTGTGGATTTAGCAACGATAGTTTACTTTGTTCAACCTTTCAACTCCCAAAAGAAACTTTTGTTATTAAAAGGTGAATCCCAAATATATTTCAATCAACCTTGAACTCCATTTGAATCCCAAATGCTAAAACGGCCATTTCATTTGTCAGTTAGTTTTGTATAAAAGATGCATGTTGTAGGCCCAGAAAAGCCCATTATTAAAGCCCACCAAACTTTGGAAATCTCCTTAAAACAGAACCAGTCGAGCTTAGATTCAGGTTCTGCAGCTACCCTAGCATTTCCTCTTTCACACACACACCCACAAACTCATGGCGTCTCGGAGAGTCTTATCATCGCTTCTCCGTTCATCTTCCGGCAGATCTGCTGCCAAATTCGGGAGCCGGAGCCCCAGGATTCCTTCTCCTTCCCCTGCTCGTTGCGCTTCTCCTTTCGGAGACCTCCTCGGCCGAGTCGCCGAGTATTCGACCTCTTCACCGGCAAGCTCAGCTGCGCCATCGTCTGCCCCTGCTAAGGATGAGGGGAAGAAGACCTATGATTACGGTGGAAAAGGTGCGATCGGGAAGGTTTGCCAGGTCATTGGTGCCATTGTTGATGTAAGATTCGAGGATCAGGAGGGATTGCCTCCGATCATGACATCTCTCGAGGTGCAAGACCATCCCACGAGGCTGGTGCTCGAGGTGTCTCATCACTTGGGTCAGAATGTCGTCAGGACCATTGCGATGGATGGTACCGAGGGTCTCGTCCGTGGAAGGCGCGTTCTCAACACTGGCGCTCCAATCACTGTAAGTGGTTTCTGTGATTAGATCCGTCCATCTGGGTCGTTGATCCGGGATTTCATAGGTTTTATGTTGCCATTACTAGGTCTAGATCTGTGAATTCATTGATGGTATTTTGCTTCACCTTGTGATTCCTTATCCTCAACGTTGACTTTGCCCATTTACAATTGTTTCTTCAAAAGTTTATTCATTTCTAAGAAACTCTATGTTTAAATAATTTCGTTAATGTGGATATCACTATTCATTTCCTTGATGCTGCCCTCTATTTTCCTCCATGTAATCTGACTAAGATTTCAGAGCAAAATATGACTTTTGGTTTGTTCTTATTTTTAAGGTCCCTGTTGGAAGAGCTACCCTTGGACGTATCATGAATGTTCTTGGTGAACCCATCGATGAGAGAGGCGAAATTAGTAAGTAGTCTAAGCCACACCTAATCGATGCCTCACTTTCTGCTAGCCTGTCATGACAATGTGCTTTTTTGCTGTTGCTCAGAGACCGACCATTACTTACCTATTCACAGAGATGCTCCGGCTTTAGTTGATCTGGCCACTGGGCAAGAAATCCTGGCAACTGGTATTAAGGTAGATTCTGGGCCTTAGCTCTGCGCTGTTGTCTTTCTTGTTCCGACCTGAGATTTGTTGCTTTTTTTCAGGTTGTTGATCTGCTTGCTCCTTACCAAAGAGGAGGAAAGATTGGGCTTTTTGGCGGTGCTGGTGTTGGGAAAACTGTGCTCATTATGGAACTGATTAACAATGTCGCTAAAGCGCATGGTACGTATGCTCAGGGTGTTTTGAAGTAGTTTTCACAGTGTTGCTCCTATTTTTAAGTTAATTGGTGCCTCTTCTATATGAACAGGTGGTTTCTCTGTGTTTGCTGGTGTGGGAGAACGAACCCGTGAAGGCAATGACCTGTACAGAGAA